TCTTAGATATTCTGATTATCCTTTCTTGTCATTCTCAGTTGAGGTTAAAAAAACAAAACAAAAAAGTGGGAGGGGGTAGAGGAAGGGATAAAGCATGATCTCTAATACATGTTCTAGATATATTTATTATGATTTACTTTTTAAAAGATAAAAAAAGAAATTTAGATAAGGTTTAGCTGCTTATGCAATATCAAATGTTTAATTTTTATTAAATTGTAGGCAGTCCTATGAAACAAACAATTGTAAGGAGGACAAAATTAGAACATGTTTGAAGTAATTAACTTCTTTCTGATTTAAACCGCCCCAAAACTTTGAGATCTACCTAAACAAAAAGCATTATCAAGAGTGAATTTTTTCCATGATGAAATGGACAGGACTTACACACTTTTTAATGAAAATGATGGAGAATAATTGTTTGAGTTTTTTTAAACAAACAACACATTAAAAACCACTTTTTTTTTTTTTTTTTAAGTAAGATCATAGAGCTTGAGAAAAAAGTAGTTTAAGGCATTCTTTGACAGCTCAGTGTCATTAAGTCCTATCAGTTGAGAGAGAGAGAGAGAGAGCAGGGAACAAGAACAAAATATAGTGTGTTTTAAATAATAGCAAGATGAGAAAATCTTTTGCCTTAATATAACATCTCAGGAAAAGTGAAAATTATAAATATATGCAATTATATATTTTGGTGGGGAGTGACCTGAAAAAAGTTTTAAATAATTATTTGAATTTCATCTGAAAATAACAAGAAAAATGAATTTTTCAAGGCATACCTGTTTGTTTTCACAATCATTGCTCAGATAACCACCATCTCTGTAGCTTTCACTCTGCAAGGCAATCCCTGCCCCTGATCTGGTTGCTTGTTTTTTGAGTATGTGCGGAAAGAATTTTAGAAGCAGGTTAGCTTCTTATGTACACAGTTAATGCAACGGTCTCCATAAAGAAGATCAACATGAAAAAGCATAACTTTCCCTAACTGTGACATAATAATTTATATGTAGTACTTGACATAAGTTGACTGATGAATGGTTGTGTTTTTCCTCCACTGTGTAATTCTTTCAGGTGGACTCAGGAATTTGATATTTAGAATGCAGAATGGAATACGTTCAGTGATGTGATGAGTTCTAATAACGTCATAAATTGTAGACGGAATACCTAGACACTGTTCAAGTGTTCTCTCTTAGGTGCTCTGTTTATTATTATAACATCTTTCAGATCAGAGATGCAGCCTTAAATGTGAGTCGTCATATCCCTGAACTGTAAGTTAGGGTTAAAACTCAAAGGGAATCAATGGCAAACACAGCCCTACCTAGCTGGGCACTCTGCATTTTCTTAGAATGCTCTTTTTCTTGGGTGGGGTTAGAGGTTTTGAGACCAAACAGAAATGTATCCAATCAACCAAGATGTATTAGCATGACACAGTAGTTCACACCTTTTGACAACATCTCATTAGATTATTTTGGGTAACAATTCTTAATATTGGACCCCATGAAGAAAGACAAAGCTTCATTAGAAGCGAGTGGGCATGACTGTGAGCCCTGTAATTCTCTGCCTCTCTTATAAAACACATAGGAGAGAATGATATTTTAAAAATGTGTCTACCAACTAGAAAATAAGAGGCTTGCTTTTGGGAAGGCTTGTGCAAAACCAAGTTTAGCAGGACTAAAAATAGGTTGTTTTTGTGTCATTGCTGTTTTTGGTATTCCATTAGTGAACATGCATAAAGCCCTGTAGGATCCAGAAGTTTATGGCTGTTGCCTCCAGAAACAGTATCTACTGCAGAAGCTCAAATATACTGGGTGGGGAAGGTTTGAGGTTTAATGTGCCTCATTTCAGATTTTTCAGTAGTATCTGAAATTTGATTATATTATGGAACTGCTTCAGTGAGTTATTTATCTTTAAATTTTCTATTAAAAAAAACACACAAGTATCTCTTTCCTGCCACCATCTTGATATTAAAAAATTCATATTTTATGATCCAAAGAAAGGGTGTTAAATTCCATAAGATTATGCAAAACATAACATTTCTTGCCCTCAAGCAAAAGTTTTTTTGGAAAGGAGAATAGAGTAGCCATGCAACCCTTGTATGTATGGATATACAGGTATATGATGTGGCAAGGGGACCCTAAAAAGTCCCAGCACAGTGGGAATTCAGGGTGCAGTAATCAGAAATGCTGTCAGATTCCTCATCCCAGCTAGAATTCTTTGTATGTTTATTTTGATGATTCTGGTACTTTAAGTTATTGATGCAAGTGCATTTTTCCCTATTGATTGTTTGATTATATCCTGCCACGGTTATGTAGATTTGATTAACAACCCTTTCAGTTCATGGTTCTTCATTGGTAGATAAACACATTTTTAGTATATCAATAAGTTCCAAAGGAGTTCGGTAGGCCAGAGAAAGGTTCTTTCATATATTTTGGGAAATGAACAAACAACAAAAGAATAGGGCAAGTTTATAGACAGAGCCCTCTTTTAGCAGCTTTCTCTCTTCTTTGGTAACATGTCAAAAATGCAGGTGATTTAAATTTCCTTGCACATAGAGGAATGAAGAAGTTTGGAAATTTTATGCATGATCAGGACCTGTGTTTGGGAAAATGTAAACTCATCACAGTGGAAAATGTGTTGTTTGGAGTCTGGGGGTGAAAACAAAGCTGATGGTTTTGGAGAGACTGCCGGAGCCAGATGGCCTAGTACTTCCCCAGTCTGGCGGTCCAACTGCTCCCTCCTGGATAATATACAGCCATTTGTTCGGGGATATTTACGCTAGAGCTGTTTCCATGTGAATGTTTGAATAGCATTAAAAACGAACATATTAGTAGTGATGCATTTATCAAATTTGTGTGACTGTACCAATAGTCTGTTCTTTCTGTTTTTACCTATATTGTTGAGATGGATGGAGAAGTGCTTTTGGACATTAGTGAATTGTATGCAGAGTTGTTGAACAAGAATAATTTGGGCTTACAGAATAATTAAAATATGTCAGGGTTTAGAATCAAACTAATGGAAATAATGGTAACCCCAACCTCAAAACACTTTTGTGAGAATTGAGTGAATTCATACATGTAACGTGCTTATGACAGTGACTGGCACATATTAAGTGCTTAATACATTGGTTGCTTTTATTATTGTATTATTATTATTACACCATTGGGCCGACAAAGCCAATTTTATCTATTAAAATACATGTAAATGTAGTTACCATGTGGGTGAAATGTCTTTATTAATGTTAGAGGAAGAAATGTAATATGGGTTGTTAGAATGAGTTAATTTTTATGTTGGTATTTGAATAGGGATTTTAGACATAAAAGATTTGTTCTAAAAGTATCTGTTTTTCGTACATTAAAATTTTTTTTATTCAAAGCTGTGATGTAACTGAACAGCATACAGAGTATGATATCATTCCTTCGCGAC